AGCAGCTATTCATGATGAAATATTCTATAAAACCAAGAAAACCTGTATTCTACATAGGTTGCCTTGTCTCTTCCTCCAAGACCTCCATTTGGTATTCACTTCTTATTGCTACTGCCTGTACTTTTTCTCCTGTGTCAATTCATCCAAATACCACAAGAAAAACCTTGGACAAATACAATCACATAAAACACATTAACCCATATTAAACACGACGCCTTGATCAAAAAAATCATTAATGGAAACAAAACCCTTTAGTTTGCATGAATTTCATTGTGTGTTTGCCCATTTCAAGAATTCAGAAAGCATTCCTGGAGCAAATTCCAAGAAGTGACCAATGACACTGCAAGGTTAATAGCACTGACCTAATCATAATAAAAATATTCAAGTTTGAAAGCGCCTACTGGAATCTGCATTTTATTAAACTGCTGAAGACTGCAGAAAAATGGCGTTACATACCAAACTTAAGCTTTATGGGATTAAAATGTTAGGATCAGAGACTTTGTAGAACAGAGTGAGCTTGAAAATGAAATCTTGCGTAAGCTAGTATTGGAAGAATGATCGTCAAAGCCCCTTAGGTGCAGATTAGTCTGCACAACTTTTGTCCTTTTCAATCCTTTGTTTTCTTTCAGACTACCTTTTGACCCTGAAACTGCTATAATTGCAGCTCTTTAGAAACAAAGTGAAGTAATATGTTGGTGATATGCTTCTTAGGTTGCTATGTTACAGTGATTATCTAATTAGCTACCTGCCTGAAGTGAATAATAATAGCAGCATTTAAACAAATCGATAAAATACATCCAATCAGTTCTTGGCAGGCCTTTTTGCAAGTTTTATAAATACTAGCTTAGCAAATAACCATTCAAAAATATGCTTGGGCAGCTTCATACAGGGCTCAAACACTAAATGCTGACATATCAGACAATCTTTTAAGTGAGGAGATTTAATTGGACTGGAAAGCAAGCTCTATTCTCTGAAAGTGTTGATAAAACAAAGTTAATATAATAAAACATTAATGCTGCTTTTGCATCTTCACTAAAAGCAATATAAGCTACAAAAGAGGACAACTCTTCAACTGCAATGTCTATAGATTTTATACCAAGTTTCAGTTTAGGCTCCTGTGAAACAAAGTTAATGAAAGGCTAATGCATAAGCAAAGTTTAATTAACTTTACAGAATGGTCTAGGTCAGGGCAGTCCAACATTTCGTATCTTGAAGGCCGCATGAAGACTTCAACATGGAACCCAGGGTACACAAAATGAATTACATGTCCATATCGTAAATTCAAGCATTTGCAATATATTTATTTAATTGAATATACACAATTAATATATTTAAATAACTATTAAACAAGGGATAAAACCGATATGAGGTCTCTGAGTTGGCTTTTCTCTGTGCATTTGAAAAAAACAGGGACGAAGAAATGAGGGAGAAAATGGCTGGGGTCTCAGAGATGGCCTTCCTCCGTAAGTGCAGGTCATCCCAGAGATCACAGACAAGTTCCTTCTCCAACCAGAGTCCAAGCACAAGGACCACTCCACTGGGGTGGCCCATTCCTTCTTCCCTGTTTCTCCCAACCAGAAGCCCTGGACTTCCTTCCTTCTTGGAACTGACATGCTGAGCCTCTTGTATTTGAGCCGATGAACTCTCCCCAGCATGCCCCACCTGCTCCTGCTGATGAGTGCAAAGGCACTCAGCTCCTCAGCACCTTTGGACACAACAGCTGGAAAAGCACGGGGCATGCTGGGGCAAGCTCTCCCAAGGCCACCACAATCATGCCCATGCTGGGATTCAGATATAGGGGGAGGAATGGGGGGCTCCGAGTGGCAAGGGGACAGCAGAACAAGGCCTCAGGGGCCGCCTGTTGGACCACACCAGTCTAGATATTCCTTTGTTATATTAAGGATTTGTATCATAGTAAATGTGGCACCAGAGAGCTTCGCTGTGGCTGACCAAATTACGTATCAGCAGAAGTCTCTCTCACACACCAAATCAGCAACTGAACACCATACACAGCTATCCGAATGCACTAGAATTCACAAGTTTGGCTATCATTTTCTAGAGACTAGTGAGCAAAAAAATGGGTGGAATCTTGGCCACAGCCACTCCAGAAACTACTGAAGCTCTTCAGTTACACAAACACCCCCAAACTGCTTTCTTGAGCCTTTGCGAGAGAGAGCAACCCCATTCAGAACTGACAACTCCCAAACCTTCACCATCTAATGTGTGCTCAGCTTCATTTTTTCTACCCTCATTCAATAAACTGGAAACATTAGCAACCTGTTCATGAAATTCCTCATCTGGTTCCTCAGAAAACGAAAAATAAAGGAGACATTTAACTCTAGAGTTCTGGACAACATATTTCTAACACACAAGGAATAAGACTAACCCTTGCAGCACTCCACAGGACATGGAGAAATAGCAATCACCTAGCACCACTTCTGAGACCTCATAGCTAATCATGGAACTCCTCCAGTTCCCAATCTATTCAGACCTAAATGGTTATATCACTATAGGTAGTATTCAAATCAGCTGAGAATTCCAGGAGAAGCAACATAGTTGTGCTCATTCTTCTTAGACCTTGGCAAAGTTTATTCAACCCAGAAAAGCAAGATAGTTTCAGACGCAAAACTGAACCTGAAGCAGACTACTATGGATCAAAACCATCAGCTTCATCTCTTTCCTTGATGTTTTATCACCATCATATGCTGAATCATTTTACCTAAATCAGAGAAAATTCTGTAACTTAACTACAGGTTTCTAGAAGTTGTTTACAGCAGAAACAATGCCTGGTGATTGCTAGGATTTCCCATTCATACATTATCATTACTGTTTCTTGCCCTAAATTATTCAAGGTAAATTCTGAAGAGCAGTTGCAGTGGTGAGTAGCATGGTAAAGAGGGTGACAATTGCCAACCCTTTAAAATACACTTCTGAGATCAACCAAAAGATGGTGGGTTGCAATAAAGTGATGTCCACTAAAACTACTGGTAACCGTGGAAAAAGAACGCAGACATGCACAACCAACTTAGCTAGCATTATCCCATCTGTCACTAATCAGGCTGCTGTCTGAATTCCAACCTTGTTCCCTTATGACTTATTTGGTGCTCATCACCTAAAGTGATTCCATCAGTAAATTATTTGTATACCACACATCACATTAGCATCTAAACCAACTAAAGTTTGTCAAGATGATATTGTGGATTCAAAGAAAGAAAGAAAATAGCCTGCTACCAGCAACCATTGGGTGAGTACAAACTATAAAAGTGCTCAAAGCAAGCTGTTCCATGATTATTTTAAGTGGAGGTTCATATCAGATTGGATGTGGTTGCCACCAGCAGCCATTGAAATTGATATATGTTTAAGTTAGAATACGCTTCCCTCTACTAAAGAACAGTTGTGCAAATTCCAATTAGATTTTTTAAAGGTAGATTTAATGTCAATGAAAGTGAAACATTTCTAAGTGCAGTACACCCTGCTTCAGCATTTGTGTGCAAGATGTAAAATTCATTTAATCTACATTGTCTATGCATAGCTGATCACGGAACGAAATGATAACTATCTTTGTATTCATCTCCATGACTTTGACATTGACTTATTGTTAATTTCTCTAGTTATGGCTATGATTTTGAGATTTTCATAGAACTGAGGAAAAATAGATACAAACATTTGAGAGAGCCAAAAGATAAAATAATCATGCACAAAATTTAACACATTCAACGTTAAAATAAAATGAGAACAAATGACTGCATTTTATTAGCATTTAGTTCAGTATAATGAATGAAATGTCAAAGAAAGGCATGTGATTCAAAATGCACAAAATAAAACCAAGCCAGCCTTTCTTCATGTCAGTGACATGTGACACTTTTTGGCCTTGGAATGTTCCTTTGTTAGCTACTCCCACCCATCAAAACTGCAAGCCCAAAGACTTATTGATAAACAACTTAGGGCACGATCTAATGGGGCTGCCCATAACCCTCCAAATTCAAAGGATTATAAGCATTGTGTACTTGAGAATGCAGGCCATTTTGGCATTTAGCTGAGGTTTTTCTGACAGGCAGGAGAGGAGGCTGGAGTACCACCAGAATTTACTACATCCTAGTAGCTCCAGTCTCATTCCCTCCATATCATGCCCTCTTCACCTTCATTATTGCTCTCATGCTGTTTCTGTACTGGCTGCTATGGGGTGGGAAAGGGATCCATGCACAGATCACCAGCTCTGAGGCTGGAGCTTTTTCCAACCAAACTATCCTATGGCTCTCATTCTCATGTATGGGCCACGAGAATGCCCCTTTAGGCTGACTCCCCTCCCCACTGTCCATCAAATTTAAACTTCAATGTATCAGAATCATTTTATTTTCAGTCCAAAAGGCCACATGACTAGGAATTGCTTGACTTGCTTTTAAAGCTGCCTACACACACACACCAGCAACTAGTAAGTATCTGAAACTCTAGGCATGGGCCACATAGATGTATCTCCATATATTTAGCAGAGAGCAATCAGGTATGTTTCTTGATTTTAAAGATCATAAGCAGTCTCTATTCACATATACCAGTTCACTTTCTGTACTTCATACAAGTGAGGAAAGAAGCATTTCTCCTTGTACTCCTTTAAGTCTGACTTGGAAATTCCAGTTGGGTGAATCAGCTTTCTGTCAGAGAGCAAAGAGGTATTTGCTTTCCTTCAATTACCTTTTCACCCAGAAGAAGTCATGCAGGAATTCTGTCCAATGAGAACAGCTTGATCCTAGCAGCAGCAGCAGCAGCAACTGCAGCAGGGGAAGCACTGTTATTAGATTTCACCTATCCTGTGTGGTCCCATGCAAAACCATATTGCTAACAAAAAGGAAGACAACATACAGCTGCAACTTTGTCCTGCCTCAATACCAGAAATGCAGCAAGAAAAATGCCAAGAGAATGATCTGAATGCACACAATTTCATGAAGTTTCCAAAAGAACATCTGTTTATCCCTGCCTCCCTGCAACAATAAACCCTTACTTACTTGGAAGTCTTTTTCCTCTAGGATCTCTTTCTTCCATCTGACAAGGAAGGCAGCACAGACATATAAATGGAAGTGAGAAAACCCCTCTGGTTCAGACTGTTAAAAAAAAGTATGCATGTGGTTAGACATCAACAAGAATGAAGAATATTTAAAATGATAGCTGCTTTTTTCCAGTTACTTCAACATGAACACAGGAAAAACTTTAATGCTTATTTATAAATGCAATTATTCAGACAGAGACAGAGACAAACCTGCCAGCAAGCAATAGTGTTTCAGATTGGCCAGCCTATCCAATTATATAAAAGGCATGCTAAGCTTATGCAATATGCATCAAGTAAATATATCTGGGTTTAGTCCTGGTTTTAACAATGAAACAGGCTTGACTGGACTTAGTGGACAAAACTTTGCTGTGGGACTTAAAATCATAGAATAGTAGAGTTGGAAGTGGCCAGAGAACCATCAGGTCCAAGCCCCTGCTCAGTGCAGGACACAAATTGAACCATCCCTCTCAGATGGCTTGGACTTAGACAATTCTCCATGTCAATTCTCCAATTCTCTATCAAGGCCTTTGATACCATTGAGCATGGGACTTTTCTGAACTGCCTGCCAGAGCAGAGAACAGGAATCTTGCATCCCTAGGGGGTCAGACTAGATGGCCTGGGAGGCCCCTTCTGACTCACTCTGTTTCTATGTTTCTATAAAAGGTAAAGGTTTCCCCTTGACATTAAGTCCATATCCATATGCTTAAGACATCCATATGCTTAAGGCACTCTATTATTACTAAGGACAATCCAGGGAAATTATAAGATAGTTCGCAATATTACAACTCTGAGTCATCCAAGGACTGTCCATTAATTGAGGAGATAAAATGCCTTTTCCTTACAAACCATGTTATGCCATATAGGGGCAATCAGTGAAGATGCATCAAAAAGGGATTACCCAACTTCATGGACGGTAGATCTATCAATGGCTATTAAATCATGATAGCTAAATGAAACCTCCATGGCATGCCACTGAATACCAGTTGCTAGAGAGCAATAGCGGGAGAGCTACTGCTTTCAAGCCCACTTCATGGGCTTCCTAGAGGCCCCTTTTGGAACAGGGATGAAATTTTGGACTTACCAAGAAAAACTTTTCTATTCTTGTGGGTAAAGAAGTGGGTGGGGGGAAGAAGGCAAGGTGTTCTCTTGAGCACAAGCTTAACAAGAAATTTTGACTAATCTATAGACAAAACACCCCCAACCCAGAAAACACTATCCCTAAACAAGCTATATCAAAAAGGTTCTTAATTTTAAAGGAGAAAGAAATTTGCAAACATGCCAAAGATGCAAATTCGTTCCTGATTTTTTTCTTTTTTGCATTGCTTTCCGATACCCTTTTCCTAGGCATTTTAGATTAAATCAAACAGGCTTAAGTATCCAATTCATTAAAGGAAAAATGCATATTCCCTTTAGATTTAAGCATTCATCATGGTTCAGAGATAAAACTAAACTAGAAAGTATTTCAAATGGATAGTCTTGGACAGTCTTGGAAATTGAGCAAAGCACTAATGCATAATTGCCTTTCCTAACACCTGCTACCTATTATAACTTTCCATTTACAGCCCTTGAAGTTACAACCAGATTCATCTTTAAATGTGTAAAATGGCAGGCCAATAGCTAAAAGCTGCTTAAAAATCAAATATAAACAATGACCTTGATTTAAATATTTTAGCAAAAGATCTTAAAACAGATGTACAGCCTTCCAGAAGACTTATTCTGAACATATTAGGCGTGACTCTGTGAGCATCACCACAGAACCATCTGTCATCATCAATAAAAATCATTTAGATGGTTAACATCACAAATATCACATTGCCTTGCAAAAAATTTATTGCATCTGTAGATGTAATCGAAGCCATTATTTCAGACTTTGCCCACAAAAATCTCATGGATTACTCAAAGGCTGAATGTTGACTGAAAAGTGTGGGAAAAAGAAATAAAGCAGAACCCATTTCATGGTTGCATCATGCCCCAGCAATTGAAAAAGAAATCCTGTTATCTATGGAATACAGTATAATGTTGTATTGGTTTATAATTGCACCAAAACCTATCTTCCTGTTTACCAGGAGATACTTAAACTAAACAATTTAAGCGATCAATTCCCAGTCTTAGAAGAGGTTACAAAGTTATCACCACTTCTAGATTATTTCTAATAACTTTTAAAGTAACAACACTTTAGAACAGCATTATGACTCTTAAAGGCATCAAATATTAACAATATTCTTTCAGCTGTTTTTAAAGTACCACACCATTGTGGCCATTAAAAATTTAAGACAATACCAGCTCTGAATAATTTCTCAACATCACGAATTCCTACCCTCTGAAGGCAGGAACTCAGAATACTTCAGGGAGAAACTATTTTATAAGATTAGTAGTCTAGGTATACTTGAATTGAAACAGTTAGAAGGTTAACTTCAGACTAAACTAGACAAGGTATGAGCAGATCTGCACATCTGAATATGATCTGTCTCAATCATTTAGAGAAAGGGAATTGGGGGTTTGATTCAAACAGCAAAAGGGACCCACAAGTAAGTGGTACTAACTTCCTTCACCCATCCACAGCTTATCACAGTCTGTTCCCAGAACTTTTCTGCTCACTTGAGCTCCCATAGCGGCAACTGTCTTTGGGAGAGATGAAGCACTTTTGTTGGAGAAGAAGAGCTTCAGAAAATAAGCAGTAAGCAGAAAGAAGGCCCTGCACCCTTTATATAATCTCACATAAGATTCTTTTAACATCACTTGCCTATTTTTGCAATATCAGGCTCAATTATTTATTACATCTTTAAAACTGCAGCTGTTGTCAATGTATTAGGGAAATCAAGATCCTATGTGTCTCAAGTTTGGTGATCATGAGGGACAGAATAAAATTCTAGAAAGGCCTTCTGTCCATAAATCCTTATTGTCCTTTCTAGTCTGGATAAAGAAGCATTTAATAAATTCTTGAAAGACCATTCAAAGGGCAAGACTGGCAACTTGAATCAACACTGATATACCACTGAGCTTATCTATTAGCAAAAATGTATAACTGGAAAGAATCCACAAATTCTCTTTTTATTTTCTTTTTACATAATAAAGGAGCAGTTAGACTATCAACAATATCACTAGTGGGCCAAATGCAGATATGCAGGAAAAACAGATTTGTAATGTACTTACAATGGTCTTCTGTATAAGCCACAAAAAATTGCATACACTGGCCAGGGTCTAACAATCACTTTGCATAAATAGAAGCAATTTTTGTGCATGCGCTGTCACATTTCCTTTCTGGCCCATCCTCTCACACCACAGCATATGCTTCATAGAGGATCTATAAATGTTAGAAGTGGTTTTACAGGGGTGGTGGGGCAAAGTGAAGAACAGCCATAAGAAGAGGACCTTGTGTGTGTACTGCAGTATGTGAATGGACATTTGGTTCATTACCAGCAAGGATACCCTTCACCTGGGCACATCACTTTGGTAAGCCTTTCAAAATCAGAAAGCTTGACGGTAAAACAATGGGAAACATTTCACAGTGGTGCCACAACTATGGCATTTTCTGCCTTTATAAGAGGATTAAACAAAGTCATGAAATTCAATGGCTACTAGTCATAACAACTATATTTTAACTCCAGTATCTGAAGCAGTATGTCTGTCAATACCAGTCACTGGGAGAACATGAGTGGGAAGCTGCACTCATGTCCTGCTTATGGGCCTCCCAGCACATCTGTTTGGCCACTGTGGAAAGAGAACGCTGGGCAAATAGGCCTTTGATCTGATCCAGCAGAGCACATCCTATATTCTTTCATCTGTGCCAAGTCAAACTTGTTTTAAATATTTTGAACATCTGAAGGGCTGTGGCTCGGCGGCAGAGAACACGCTTTGCATACAGAAGATCCCAAATACAATTCCTGACATCATTATTATATTTAGTTATATGTTTTCCATATTAAAAGATTAGCACATTTCAACCATTAATAGAAATATACAAAAGTTAAAAACATAATTGAAACTGCAATATTAAAATTAAAGTACCAAAATTAAAACAGCAATAAAAACACTATTAAAAAGCTAGTCCAACACAATTTGACATGTCCAGGCTATTCCCAAAGAACCTTAGGAATAGCAAAGTTTTTGCCTGCATCCAAAAACATAACAGGGAGGATGCTAATTTAGCATCCTTGGGAAGGAAGTTCCAGACTCTTGGAGCAGCCACTAAGAAGGCCCTCTCCTGTGGTCCTACCAAGCATGCCTGTGCAATGGGCAGGAGTAAAAGAAGGGCCCCCCAGAAGATTTTAGGGTACAGACAAGCTCACAGGGGAGATGGCATTCTTTCAAATAGCTTGAAATAAGCTACGCAGGGCTTTGTAGGTCCAAAGCAGCACTATGAATTGTGTCTGGAGCTCCGTAACTTGGTTCAGCAAAGACGTTGCATGCTTCCTGTAGCCAAACCCCATCAACAGACTGGCAGCAGCTCTCTGAACCAGCTGAAGTTTCTGAACACGTTTCATAGAACGCCCCACCGAGAGTATGTACAGGAATTCAAATGAGATGTAAAGAAAGTATGTGTCACTGGAGCCAACTCATACATCCTCAAGATGAGATGGAGCAGGCACCCTGATTTTAACAGTGCAAATGCACTACTGGCCATTGGCAAAACCTAGGCATCCAGGCTCGGGAATCAGTCCACAGGTACATCCAAGCTGTTGGCCTGTGTCTTCAGGGGCGTCCAGTAGAGTATCCTTATTCCTTGATCTGCCACCCAACTGACCAGGAGCACTTCTATCTTGTCTGGATTAAACTTCAATTTGTTTGTCCTCATCCAATCCAATTCTGCCAACAGGCACCTTAAAACACTAAAAGAGCTTCCTTGGAATGAGATGGAAAGGAGCAATAGAGCTGGGTGTGAGCAGCATATTGGTGACACTAAGCCTCAAAACTCTGGACAATCTTTCCCATACATGTTAAATTGCATGGTGGACAAAATAGTACTCTGAGGAACTCTACAAGTCAGCAGCCAGGTTGCTGAACAAGAGTCCCTCATCACCACTTCCTGGGTCACCTCTCAGGAAGGAATGGGGC